GCACGCAAGGCGCACGCACGCACGCGTGCGCTCGCAGGACACATGCCTACGCACGCGTTGCCTTGACATTTTTGCCAAGTGGCCTTTGCCGAAAATCAAGGTAGTTCAGGGTGTGAAAGGATTCCACGCAGACGACTCAAGAATTCGCAACACCTGGCAAAGCTTTGGAACCCGACGCGACGCATGTGTCAAGACCTTTCCAGGACAGCCGCTTGCCGATGCTGGGCCAGCGTCAGTGGGACAGTTTCGAGGCCGCCCTAGATGGCAGAGACCTCAGCACAGAGCTCCTGCAGCAGTTCCTTGCTTGGAGACGGGCGCATGGACAGATTGCGCAAAGACTTGGCGGCAAGGTGAGACAACCGTATCCTGTTCAGAGTTTTCTGGCCCATCCTGCAGCGCATGTGCGTCACCTGCTTTAAAGCCAGCGTGGAGCTTGCTGGCTATCAGGGCAAGCGCTTCACACGCTGCGTGAAAATAGTTTTAGTTCAGGTTCCACGTTGGGGGGGCTCTTGGTTTGTCAACCAGTATTTCTTTGTATCGGTTTATAAATGCACATGCGTGCTACGCTCTCATGCACTTGCGTTCCACACCTTCAAGATCTCAATATTGGAGAAACACCACATTCGAACAGCCAGTCGAAAGCGCAACGCCAAACCGATCCTAAAATAACTTGAGTCCTTTTCTACACCCCACACCGCCCACATAGGTTCTAATCGCACCAGACATAGAAAACCATTAACGGCAGCTTTGGTAAGAGTTCCTGTCTTGTCTTGAGCAGCTCGAAAGTCGCACTTGTTCAAAACACATGACCGAAACAACTTATTCCAGACCATGTGAAGGCAGTTCGTAAGTTACTGTCCGGCGCACCCTGGAGCAAAGGGCGGTTCGTGCGTCAGCGTACGGCGGTTACTAAGTTAGTATCTCAGCAACTTAGCAAATTAGCAATTTAGCCAGCTAGCAAGGTACTACTACTACTACTACTACTAAGCTACTACTACTACTACTACTACTACCACTACATTCTTTTACCTACTGAAAGTACCACTACTTCCGTCGCACTTCTACTACTACTACTACTACTACTACTACTACTACTACTGCTGCTACTACTACTACTACTACTACTACTACAGCCTGCTTAATAGTACTTTTTTTGCTGCCTCGGGTGTGTCAGCTCCAGCGCGCAAAGCGTAACTGTTCATTGCGTAGCGTGCAAGGTGCGCTTAGCCAGCTTCAACCCGCACGCAACCGCTCCATCTGCGTGATTGTACTATGACCATTGCGCTGTCAGTTCCAGCAAGCCACCAGTTTTGGGGAGCGGAACTCATTCCTATCTAAGTTGCCGATTGAGTTTGAGATTGACACCCGTGTCCTTGTGATCGTTTTTCATGTTGCATTCTGTCGCAACATGTCAGGCGTTTCAAGCTGTTGAAGTTAAACTTGGTTCGGCCGTGGAACAGCATTCTGAACTGGGATTTCTTTCCACATCTGATTTTCCAGACAGGTAACTGACAAGTGACAAGCAGCGCGCCACTTACACAGGTTTGCTTTCCAAACTCCGTTTTCGGAGAACAGTGCCAGATGTACATAGGTTCATATATGTGTCGAGTCGAATTAGAGCAGCCTGAAATTGCTATAGTTGGAGCTTAAACCAAGTTCAAATTCCACTGCGTTGCTTTACTTGTCTATTCCCATGTGAAATTAACTCAGCACGAACTGAGCGGGCCCAAAACAGGAGAGTGGCTCAATCAACATGGGCTTGCTGCGTTGCTGCAAGAAGAAGCAGCAACATACGGTGTTTTGAGCATGTCTGAGGTTGTTCCCCATGACAAAAACTAGCCGCGCTTTGCCCCGAACTAACCAAACTGGGCGCTTCCTGAACTCCACAAGAAGGCCCTCTCAAATGTTCAAAACGCTTTCAAGTTTGTGGAAAGACTCAAGTGGTTTGAGCTGGATCGAGATCCAAGGTTGCGCAGAAAGTTTCCTTGCAAACCTTGTATCCAGGCCACCCAAAAAAGCGTCAAAGTTTGGAGCCGGGCCCAAGGTCCATTGCCTCCCCTTCCGCGCCCATTGTTGGTGACCTGATTCACCCTGACGTCTTGCGGGTTGAGCAAGCCTTACAGTCTGCTTTGCTAGATCCAAGACCCACAACTCCCAAGAAATTGTTCTGCGCAGGTCTGGCAGCCTTTCGTTTTTGACGCAGCCCAGAAGTAGTTTAGAAAAGGGTAAAAGTTTTCTGGAGGTTGCCTGCGTCCAGGATTTCTACGAAACTGTTCTTTGCAATTGTGACTTTTGAGTCGTGGACTTCAACTTTGCAGGGAGTAAGGCCCGTCTTTGTTCAATCTTGCATCTTGGGCCAGCAAAAAATCTTGTTTCCCACCAACCCTTCTTGTTCAATCTGGCAGGTGCCCAGCTTGACCCATATGTAAGGGTGAAGAAGCCCTTTCTGTATGTTGCAGTACTTTGCCACCAGGCGCAGGTCGACGGGCGGCTTATGTGTTTATATGCACATATGTATTGTTATTTGTGGGAACTGCGAAAGGCAGTTTCTGCGCACGCTTGGTTTAACCGCGGCTTGCCCAAGGAAATTGGACCTATGAGCCAGGTGAGTTTGCCGGCAGTGTGCGCAGAATGCGCCGGACGAAAGTTGGATTTACTTCAAGAATGCATCGCTGCAAAAGCAACCCGCCGCAGGGGACAGCTTGCTGGCGTTCTGAAGCCAACGAGCGCAACTGCCCCCTGGCCGGGTTTTGGAGCTTGCGAGCTCCCATACTGAAATATTGAATTTCTAGCCGTGTACTTCGCGTGCTACTTTGGTACTGAGAAGCTGCGACTTTCGAGCCGGGGCCGCGGACTGTGCACTTCATGCGTAGCGTACGACGCTGCAAAGGTGCGACTTTCCAGCCGGGGCTGTGAAAGCGCTCTTCTTGCGCAACTTGTGTGCTGGATGCTGCAAAGCTGGGCCGTGCACGTGTGACACAAAAATGTATATGTAGATATCTATCTCTATATATATATATGTATGCACGGGTGCGACCCTATGTTTATATATACATGTTATATTCTAGGAGTACACTTGCATTCTGAAGCATCCCCAGAATGGTTTGTCTCCTGGCGCAAGTTGGGGGTGCTTCGAAAGGCTGCTTCTCTAGCGTGTTGGCAATTGGATCCCTCCTTCTGGCGCGTAGGCTTCCACCATACCGACTGATTTCGGCGACGCGGCGTGGTTGCGCGGAAGGAAGCCGAAACAAACAAACTACAAGCTGCACAAAGCATGGCTGTTTCGTGAAACGGGCTCAGTTCAGTTGCCGGACACAGGTTGCTCCGCGCAATGCAATCTGCTTGGCCCAGCTATGTTGCACTTTGCCTTGAGCTTGCTTATCCTGCCCAGGTGGTATTCTTTGCGGTTGCAAAGCGCACGGGCCTTACAGAGCGGCCTAGATTGGCACTGTTGCAAGCACATTCATTCGTTGACCGTTACATATTGAGGAAGAAGTGGATGAGCTTTGGCTTGTGCTCCATAGTAACTGTATGACTAAACGCACCCGATTTTCTCAGACTAATACTTCTGGAACATGCATGTGCTACATCGCTGAAACCTGCCGATTTTGCGCAAAACCGGGCGCTACTTGTGCTTGGGGTGTTCCAGCGCCTGTAAAAGGTCGAATCTCGCTTTTTCACTCTTTTGCTCATGTAGCTGTTTCAGTCGTTTTTGTGTGTGGGGTTTAAACAACGACCCTTGACTACCCTTTTGGGGGAGCCGTTTTTTATGCTTAGGGGCGAGTCGGCAGACATTTCTACAGGGCAGCCCTTAAGCCACAAACAAAGCTTCGAGACAAGCAGCCCAAGACAAAAGTCGTTGTTAAAGGCATTCTAGCATGTTGAAGCAACTTGCGCACAGGCTCTTGGTGATGCTGCCAGAGCCCATTGGCTACGTGAGCAGGGCTTTTTGCCTTCATGAGGGGGGGCAAAATGGGCTTGCCAAACACCCGTCGACCAGTGAGCTTTATTTGGCAAGCTTTGCTGTCGACTTTTCGACGAATCGGTTTGCTACTTGAGTTTGTTGTTGTTTCCTTCTTGTAGACGCTTTGAAGCATCCCGCTGGCGCAGCTCAAGTTTGAGAGCTGGCGACGGAGTGACCAACCGGTGCTATCTCAGGCGAACACCTTCCTGATTGGTCACACCGTGTGCGACGATCTCCTAGGCTGGTCATAGCTGGTTTGGCCTCTTCAGGCGTGACTGTCTGTCAAAACACTACTTGAACGTGTAGTAAACCTGTCTGTCAAAACACTTTTTGAACGCGTAGCAGAAACGTTCGCGTTGTCGAAAAGGGTCTGGGCGTCAGTTCGAAGGTGTCCGCAAGCGGTCGCAGGGGGCAAAAGTTGCCGCTCTGGCGGGGGAGGCTCAGCCTACGCGATGCGTTTGAGTTGCACACGCATTTCCGTCACCCCGGGGCGCAAGTTGTAGCTTTCGTTTTGAGCTGTCTTGTGCGGCAGGCGCCTGCAAGCGTTTGCGCGAGTGTCATGTGTGTGGGCCTTGTCGCGGAACCAGACCGTTTTGGCAAGCTTAAAGTTTTCAACGTCGTTAGAAAGAGGAAGATGGAAAAATGATCAGATAGTTAGATGGACAAAAAGTAGGCAGAAGGACAGAACAGTAGGTAGACGGGTAGATAGACAGATAGATGGATTGTAAATTAAGAGAAAGTGAGAATGAAAAAGGCAAGTTAAGATAAGAACGGCCTGGGGTAGAAAAAATGGATGGACGGATGGATAGAAAAATAAATAGGCAGGTGGATCAATAGAAAAGTAGATAGATAAATGCGTATATCTAGATACCAATATGTACACATTTATGGACAAACGCGTAGATTGACAGAAGACGGACCAAGACATAGACAGATAGATAGGTGCAGGAACAAATGCGCAAACAGATGCACGGATGAATGCGCAGGCAGATGGATAGGTAGAAAAACGCATGTGTGAAAAAACTAGAAGACGGGTGGCCCGAATGCATGTTCCATGACACGCAACGTGAATTGGTTGATTTTCCCAAGTGTCCAACGCGAGCACTGCTTGGTGCTTAGCGCACGCAGCTGGAAGACACCGTAGTTAAAAAGGTAAAGCATAAAGGGCTCTCCACACCCAGGCATGCGCGCAGGTGGACGAGCGCTCCTCTAACGTAGAGCAAGAGGAAGGTCTACTCCGCGCCACGATAATTGCGCTTGTAGGTCTGGAAGCCAACGTGCGCCAAGAGGAAAACACACTCTGCGCCAAGATGCTTGCACAGGTAGGGGTGGAGGTCACCCTAGATCAAGAACAAGGCATTCTCCACGCTAAGACACTTGTCACGCGCAGGTAGGTCGGGAAGGCGCCAAAGTGAAAGAGGAAGGCACACTCCTCGCCAAGACACCTGGGCAGGTAAGTGAAAGAGGAAGACGTGCGCCGCGCTAGGACACTTGCGCAGGTAGGTCGGGAAGGCGTCGTAGCGCGCAAGGAAAATATACGGCGCACGCAAGCGGGGGCGCAAATCTGTCTGGCCCTTTGGCTTCAGCCTTTCCAAGGAGCGGTCTCTTGAGCAAGCAACACAAAGTTTGAGCAAACATCGCCCGCAGGCGTGGCTCTGGAGAGCAAAAGCAGAAGTCACGCACTCCTTTTTCTCCTCCCACCAAGCCACAGCCTGCGTAAATCTTGCACTGCGAGAAGTTCTTTGCTTCGGGTTCACTGCAGCGAGTTTTCTGTAGCATCATCACATAGATGAATGCGCTGGATGTGGGCCGGTTTTGTTCCAAGGTTTTCAAGACCCACATGGTGTAGCCTCTGCCAGCTCACGGCCACAGGGGTGGCCTCGCTGCCAACAGGCAATCAATGGCCTCCTCAGCGGACATGTTGCGGGCTAGAATGAGCAGCGGGCAAGAAGCAGCGCTGCGGCACTCCAGCTGCCACAGTAGTCGCGCGCAGGTCCTTGACCAGCAAGCTGTCTAGCTCGTTGTCCAGCCACCCAGCTCCCTTCTCAGAAAGACCTTGCTGCAAATGCGCGTATGGCGCAAGCGCATTCCGCTCCGGCCTCGGCGGCGTTGCAAACTAAACTTTTGCGAGCGTACTTGCGCATCAACGCACAGTCCGTGGCAGATCCAAGCACGAGTCTGCCCTTTTGCTGGTCCTTGAACCAGAACCATGCAAAGAGCTGCGGGACGCAAAAATACAGCAATACACTGCCAGGCGCACGGCAACGATGTCGCATTGGAGCAAGCTTCCACTTGTGGGATTGCACGGCGGCAGTGCCAAATGTGACACGTTCCAAGGTGTATGAAGAAAGACAACTCCGCTTGAAGACTCGCAATTGTCTTTGCGCAAACTGTTCTGCGCAGGTCTGCGCGTCGCTCTCAGCCAGTTGCCATGCGCAATGTGCTTCTTCGCGTACTACTTGAAAAAGCGGTTTTTCAGCCGAAGCTGCGGGAGCGCGCCACGCATACTACTTTTGAACTTGACAGTTGCGACTTTGCACCTGCAGCTGCGGGAACGTGCTTCGCGTACTACTTCTGTACTTAAAGGTTACGACTTTGCAGCCGGAGCTGCGGGCTGCGGGGACGTGCGTCGTCGCAGCCTGATTCCTGCCACGCCGATCCCCGCAGAGGGTCGCGCGGGTAAGTTGAAAATCGCAAAAGCCCAGTTTTGGCACATCGCATCGACCACGCCGATCCCCGCAGAGGGCCGCGCGCGCGCCGCAAGAGTCGCAAAGACCCGCAGTTTTTGCACATCGACCACGCCGATCTCCGCAAAGGGCTGCGCGTGCCGCAAGAATCGCAAAAAAACACACAGATTTTGCACATCAACCGCGCCGATCGCCGCATAGGGTTGCGTGCGCCACGCAAGCAGGTAAAAACTTCAGTTTTTGCACACCGACCACGCCGATCCCCGCAGAGGGTCGCGTGGGCATGTTGAAAATCACAAAAACTCAGTTTTTGCACGTCGACCAAGCCGACCCCTGAGAGGGTCTCATTTTCGCAGAGCGCGCTTGGTCCCACCACGCTGCCTTAAGATACTAATTTTAATACAGCGTCGTGCAAGTTTCCTTGTGCAAGCTATGCTGGTGCGAGAAGGAATGCCGGATCGTACTTTCCCCACGCATGCCTCTATGCATTTCACTGTCTACTTTTGTCACACAGTTCACTGTCTACTTTCCCTACGCAGTTGAGCTGTGCAGAACGCAACGACGTCTATTTTACCTATGCAGTTCACTGTTTTTTCCGTATGCAGTTGATGCAGTTTTCCCTATGCAGTTGAGCTGCGCAGAACTCAACGACTTTACCGGAGGAACCATTTAGAAATTGTATTGGCAGGGACGCAGGCGCAATGGTAGCTTTGAAACAACTTGCAGGGTTCATAGCTTCTATTAGGCTTCTGTGCGGGGGTCTGCGGCAGCATTGGCTGCCTTTGCGCAGGCCAGTGGTCTGCAGAGGCTCATCGAGCAGAGGTGCCTCGCTTCTTGAAGCAGCTGAAGGCCTGGGGCCGCCGCCGTAGATGGCCGTCTGTCCTTTGCGGGGCCACCCTCGGGCTTGGACATAGCCAAATCGATTTTGCAAGGTTCTACGCCGGCTTTTGACGGTTGCTTCTCAACAATGGGTTGGGCGTGTCCTCTTTCTTTTTTGAAAGTGCGAGTTCCAGTTGCGATGCAAAGGCTTTCCGAAATAAGCTACCTTAGCAGTTCTTAGACAATCCTGGGACGCGCGTTGAACACTTTGCTCACATGGCATCTGACAATGAAGCTGGCGCCAAGGCATTTGGGGTTTTCATTTGTATCTGGTGTTTTCATTTTTTTGCAGTTGGCATTTGGTCAACTCCCACTGGCAAGAATGCCAACGCATGAAGATCTTTTAGCGGAAAATGGCACAGCGGGTTCACTCTTCCACTGCCACCAGTGAAACCTGATGCACGCTGTAGAAGCTGAGCCCCAACGATCCACATGAATCAGTGAAGGAGCATGACTCTTTTAATACCAAGCGCTGGAAGATTTTCAAAAGGAAAATGCGAGCGCGCTTGCACAGTGGGCTCACTCTTCACTGCCACCAGTGAGACAGATGCATACTGTAGAAGCTGAGCCCCAATGATAAAAAATGGGTGCAGTAAAGTGTCATGACTTTTTCAATACCAAGCGCTGGCGCCCAGCACCACGGCATTTTTCAAACAACATCAGTACTTTTGATAGGGAGGGTATGTATTTATTCAAGCTTGCAGACTGCATGGACCTTGCGAACTTGTAACTGTCAAATCTCACGTCCAGACATTTTTCCCAACTGGCAGGCAGCTAGCTGTTTGCCAGTGTCACACAGTGTTGCTTGATGATGCTTGGCTGCCAGCTAGCTGGCAGCCAGGAATTTGGCTGATGCTGTGGCCGCCTGAAGAAGTTTCAAGCAGACCAGCCCACACATATTGTTGAACTTTCTACCGCTGCTTGGCGCACCCCCACATTGCCTGATGGCCCAGAGTGCCAGTATCAGGAGCCGGCCAGCTGCTCACCTTGCATCAAGTTGCTTCAAGCTGCCACCAGCAGCAATTGGTTTGCAACAGTCAGTTTCACATGTGGCAGTTAGACACCAGCAAATCTTGTACTCCTCACGCACGCAGTCAAATCATCCCTTTTGAAGCTGTGGCCACTTCCCAGGACTGAAGCCTTTGCCCTTGCCAATGGAGGTCATCATTCTCTTCAATGCTGCTTCCTCAGGGCACTGTTTTGAGATTGTAGGCTTGAGAGCACGCTGGGCAATGTTTGTATTGAACAAGTAATGCCCTGGTTGGGAATCTGGAGTTCTACTTTTGGATTTACTGAAACCCAGGGGCATCCAGGGGCGCTCCCTTGGGGTAAATGGAAAGCCCCTTGGTTTAAAGCCGAGCCCAACAAACACCAAACTGGAGCCCTAGAATGCTTTTGTTGTTTTTGGACCGACTGCCTTCCTCTGCAGCGTCTTCTGGTTGAACTTGTGCAACGCTTTCTGCATCTTCTCCTTCTGCTTCAGCGACTTCATCTTTCCACCCTTGCCCTTTTGCAGGGAGCTCTCCTGTGTCTTCACCAGTGTTGTAGCCTTCTTCACCTCCTCGCCTTTCTCTTTTTGCAGGGTCTTCTCATCTTTGTTCTTCTTTTGCACTGGCTTCTTCACCTCCTCGCTTTTCATCTTATTCTGCCAGGTCTTCTTGTTTTCACATGGCTTCACCGGCTTCTTCACCTCCCTTTTCATCTTCTTCTGCCAGGTCTTCTTGTTTTCACATGGCTTCACCGGCTTCTTATGATGGTTTCCTTTCCACAGCCTCCTGCTTCTGCTCCTTCTGCTTCATCACCTCCGTTTCCATCTCCTCCATCTCCATGTCCGCCAGCTCCGTCGGTGGCCCGCTGGGCCCTGTGGACGCACTGCTGTGTGATGAAGGGCTGGGTGGATTCTGCTGCCACACTGCCGGAGCTCTGGGCGGGCGGCGGGCGTTGCGGCTCAGGAGAAGGCAGGACCCTCTGGTTGGCACGACAATGGGCACCATAAATGTTGCAAAAGCAGCAGGCATCATTATCATGCCTGCCAGACCAGCTAGCTGGCCTGCCTGCTGTGCTTGAGAATAAAAAGGCAATAGTAACAATGAATAACTAAGAAGCAAGGCAATGGAAGACTGAGAATGAAGCAATGAAACATATTACAAGCCCGAAACCAACCTTTGCTCCGTTTGCAAAAGGCATCAAAAGGCAATGGGCACCGCTCTGAGGCTTTGGCCTCTTCTCCAGAGGCTGGCTGCTGGAGGCTGGCTGCCTAGCTGGCGCCAGCTGCCAGCTAGCGAGCTTCTGGGCATCGAGAGCCATCAGGTGCTCGGGGACATGACCCGGCCGAAGGTACGGGCTTTGGCCCGCTTGGTCCAATGCGATGTGGACCTCGAGATGTTCCTGGTGGCGTGGAGGCGCTGGCAGGTGGGGTCTGGACCCCATCAATCGACCTGCCGCTAATGGGCGTGGTGCTGCATTGGCCCATTGGTTGGGGATGGCTACAGTTCTGGGGTTGCCTTGCCTCCGATGCTCGGCTTGCAGGGTGGTTTCCGTGTCTAGCCCTCTGCCTTGCCATGCAGCCGCAGGGGATCTACGCCCGCTGGTGCCAGCTGCACATTGTGTGGCTGGCCGCCAGTGAGATGGCAAGTCAGGGGCTGGCAGCCAGGGCTGCTGCTGGCAGTCACTCATCCATGCGCAACAGGTCTTGGCGTGCAAAGTGGGCAAGTCAGCCAGGCCCCAAGCTGTGAGTCCTGTCAAATTTGTGCCTCAGGCAGCGAAGCCTGGCCAGGCACTTGCATGCAGCTGTGAGCTGTTGCGGGCACTGATCTGTGCAGCCGAGCTCTGACGAAGCGCTCGCGACGAATTGAGGAGGGCGACGCGCTGGTGCTCAGCACCCTCGAGATCATAGCGCACTTCGACCCGCTCATGTGGGTCATCGAGAATCCGGCCACCGGGCTGCTGAAGACCCGCCCATGCTCTGGGCGGACGTGACCTACTGCAAGTACGGGGCTCCGTACAGGAAGCAGACCCGGCTGTGGACCAACATGCGCTGGAGGCCGAGCCGGGGGTTGTGCAGGGCCGGCAGCCGGTGCGAGGCGTGGGAAGACGGGAAGCATCGCAGCCGCCCAGAGGGGCCTCGACTCATGGGGGGCCAGCGCGAGAAGGTCAGCGGGCAGTCGCGCGAGCTACTCTACAGCATTCCCGCGCCGCTGTGCGAGGAGATTGCGAGTGCGGCCACGGCTGAGCTTGCGGAGCGGCAGAGCATCCCGGACTAGGGCTGAACCGAGGATCATTCTTTTTGTAATCGGGCCGGGGACACCGGGCTGGAGGTGGAAAGATCCGTCTCGGAAGATCCGTCTCGGGCTATGGGAAAATATTATTCTAAGGAGAGGCGCTCACCGGGCTAGAGGTTAAAAGATCCGTCTCGGGCCGAGGGAAAAAGAATTCCCTAAGGAGGGGCGCTCACCGGGCTGGAGGTTAAAAGATCCGTCTCGGGCCATGGGAAAATATTATTCTAAGGAGAGGCGCTCACCAGGCTAGAGGTTAAAAGATCCGTCTCGGGCCGAGGGAAAAAGAATTCCCTAAGGAGAGGCGCTCACCGGGCTGGAGGTTAAAAGATCCGTCTCGGGCCATGGGAAAATATTATTCTAAGGAGAGGCGCTCACCAGGCTAGAGGTTAAAAGATCCGTCTCGGGCCGAGGGAAAAAGAATTCCCTAAGGAGAGGCGCTCACCGGGCTGGAGGTTAAAAGATCCGTCTCGGGCCATGGGAAAATATTATTCTAAGGAGAGGCGCTCACCAGGCTGAGGTTAAAAGATCCGTGTCGGGCCGAGGGAAAAAGAATTCCCTAAGGAGAGGCGCTCACCGGGCTGGAGGTTAAAAGATCCGTCTCGGGCCATGGGAAAATATTATTCTAAGGAGAGGCGCTCACCAGGCTGAGGTTAAAAGATCCGTGTCGGGCCGAGGGAAAAAGAATTCCCTAAGGATCCGTCTCGGGCCATGGGAAAATATTATTCTAAGGAGAGGCGCTCACCGGGCTGGAGGTTAAAAGATCCGTCTCGGGCCGAGGGAAAATGAATTCCCTAAGGAGAGGCGCTCACCGGGCTGGAGGTTAAAAGATCCGTCTCGGGCCATGGGAAAATATTATTCTAAGGAGAGGCGCTTACCGGGCTGGAGGTTAAAAGATCCGTCTCGGGCCGAGGGAAAAAGAATTCCCTAAGGAGAGGCGCTCACCGGGCTGGAGGTAAAAAGGTCCGTCTCGGAAGATCCGTCTTGGGCCGGGGCAAGATATCATTCTAAGGAGAGGCGCTCACCGGGTGGGAGGTGGAAAGATCCGTCTCGGAAGATCCGTCTCGGGCCATGGGAAAATATTTTTCTAAGGAGAGGCGCTCACCGGGCTGGAGGTTAAAAGATCCGTCTCGGGCCTAAGGAAGGGGCGGGGGCACGACCTGGCCTTCCACTCGGAGCTCCGCGAGCGGCCTGCCCTTCGTCCTGAGCATCAACGACGTGCCGGAGGCCCGAGAGCTCTACTGCTGTGCGCAGCGCAGGATTGAGTCAGAGTGATGTCAGGCACGGCCTGGCGGCCAGCTTGCTGGCCGCCTGCTGGCGGCCTGGAAGAAGGCAGCTCCTCTCTCTATGTTGCGCCCCTCTTCTGCTAGGCAGGCCACGGGCCGTGGGCTGTTGGGTGAAACCGATTTGGGTGAAACCGATCACGGTGTTGGATGAAACCGATCAACCGATCACGGCAGGACAGGGGCAGGAAGTCTTGAAAGCAATGAAGTAAACTGCCATGAAGTAATCTAAGAGGCCTAAAGATTACTTTTTTGTGCGCTCCGCTAAGATTTCTTTTCATGCGCGCTCAATTTGTGTTCTCGCATCGCACTTGCATTGCTCCCAATGTTCCTCTGGCTCTCAGAAAGCAGCCATCTCAACAAGTAATCATTGCGTTGACTTGTTGAGGCTATTTGAGGCTAACTTTTTCTG